CCCATCTTGGTTGAGGAATTCGCCATTGAAAGAAAATGTTTATAAGAACATTTCAAACTTTGCTTCCTCTATGAAAGTTCAGTGAAATTTAGCTTGAGAGTGACTTAAAAAATGAAAACCTTTGAGTCAATGCTAATCTCCAAAGTCTCTTTTCTAATAAAAATGTATCAAAAAACTGTTTTTTGGATGAATTGCATATAGTCTGTCCTGTAATATTACTTAAATGTCCTTAAATTTTTTGCTGTTATTTCATTAAGATCATTTAAGTAATTTTACAAGACAGATTGTATGAAAACTATTTTCCCAAAATGTATTAGGGTTTTAGAACATCTTTAATTTCTACGATAATAGAAAAGAGATACTTTCGAGTTCATAGTCATACTAATTAATGTAGTGGGATCATATCAATCTGCCCAAATTATGTTTTGAGAATGACAACAATAGACTCCAAAAGTCTTTCTTTTCGGATGCATCTTCATGTGTATTATTCTTGTAATTAAAATGGGGTAGTAATATGCTGATAATAAATTTTTGTATAATCTTTATTTACAACTTATATACATCATTGAATAAATATATGTATACAATATTGTAGGTCTTAGTAAAGTAAAAAGAGTCAATCATGAAATGACATTTAAGGTTAAATGAAAAAAAATTGTGTATAAAAGTTTTCTATTAATCATTTCTCACTAAAATACAGTATTTTTGTAAATGAGTTTGAGAAAATGATTTTCATATAGAAACTCTTTTCAACATTTTATTCTATTAAAGCTCAACTCATCTTTGCAAGTCATTTAATTAGAGCTATTTTTGATATCTTTTTATAAATATGAAACATTAATTATTGTTAAGATCATGGCAATCATTGAAGATTTAAAAAAATTAATTGTAGAAACCGAAAATGAAATTTTCAACTAAGCTAACTGGGCTATAAAATTGAATTAAAGTCATTGCTTGTCTTCCATTAAAAAAAAAAAAGTCATTGGTTGTCTAATTTAATTCGAAGAATTATAATTGTTTTATTTCCTAAATTTGAAGATTTTCATTTTATTAAACCAATAAAAAAAGATTATCGCTGAATTTTGTAAGTTGTTGGTCAATTTTTTCATTTTTTCTCAATGCAGGAGTTTATGCATGAGGAAATCTTGACTTACAACTTTGTTAGGAAAATTATTGGATGGAATAACAACTTGTTAGCATTTGCCCTTTCGTATTTGTCATGGTCCTTTTGGATTGGGAAGACCTTGACTTACAACTTGTTAGGAAAATTATTGGATATAATAAAACTTGTTAACATTTGCACTTTCGTGATAGTTGTGGATGGGGAAGACCTTGAATTACAACTTTGTTATGAAAATTATTAGATGGAAAAACAACGTATTAGCATTTGCACCTTCGTATTTATTATGAATGGGTAGACCTTGACTTACAATTTGTTAGGAAAATTATTGGATGAAATAATAACTCGTTAGAATTTGCACTTTCATGATAGTTTTGGACGGCGAAGGCCTTGACTAATACAACTTGTTAGAAAAATTATTGGATGGAAGAACTAGGGGTATTCACGATGTGGTTTGGTTCGGATTTTAATATTTTTTAAATCAATCTAATTTAATTTGTTAGTAAAATTTTTAAACCAATCCAATTCACTATTATATGATAATCAAACCAATCCAATTTAAATTGGATCAGTGTGGTTCAGTTGGATTGATCGGTTTTTAACAATATAAAATATATGAGATAATATAAAAAATTTTAATATTAAGTAAAAAACATAATTATAAAATAAATTAACATCTAAATTACTAGAAACATAATAAAATGCACAAATTATAAGTAAGCTCTTATAATCATTTACTATCGTAAAGATTGAAAAGATTGAAAAATTCTTTTTGGCTAAATCACCAAAGGTACAAAGGATAATAAAAGATGATTCTAAATTTTAAATACAGTACAAGTAATTTTTAAAAGTTAAAACTAGTTATTTTTTCCTTAATGCACCAAATGATTCAATCTCATCTTCCAATTCTGTTAAAAGCAAATAAAATTTAACATGAATGTCATTAGGAATGATTATAAACATTCATAATTAAGATTTAAAACTTCTCAACTAAATATCCAAGAATAGTAAAATAGCAAAATTAATTCTATTATATGATTTTAATACTTCTAAAATGATATTTCTTAAAATTTAGTTAGAAAAATCAAAATATTATTTTAAAAACAAATTAAAAATTTAGAGTTCTAAAAGTAGAGTCGTAAAACAGTTTTAAGAAATAGAGTTACGGTGAATTGAAAATTTAGAATTAGGATTAGAGTGCACGATTTAAAAAGGAAAATAAATTAAAGAATATGAGAATATTTTATTTTTATTTTTTAATTGAGTTAATGGAGTTATCATCTTATAAAATAAGAAAAAAATTTAAAATATTACAAAAATATACTATATTATTTAATTAAGTTATCTTATAATCAGATTTTATTTTGTAATCGGGCGGTTCAGGTAGTTTGAAGGTAAAACCATAAACTAAATCAATTATATCAGCTTTAAAATTTTAGAATTCAAACCAATTCAATTTTATATCGGTTTGATTTGGTTTTTCATCAAATTGGATTGGATATGAACACCCCTAAAAAGAACAACTTCTAGGTGGGAATGGAATTACGTTTTTTATGCTTTTAATTAAGATGCAGCTGGTTTGAAAGAAATAAAAGGGAAATGATGGAAGGGATTTTTTTTTTTTTTTTACTTTCAATTCTAGAATAATAAATATTTTTTTTATTTTATCTTTATATTAAGTATTTAGAAACAGTTTATATTTCTATATATACTACCCTTAAAAAAAGATAAAGATAATAAAGATATACCTTTTTATTATAGGATAAATAATTAAAATTAAAGGATAACATACGGAAGGTTAAAATAGAAAAAAATTGTTTTCTCTAAAATATTAAAAAAACGACTACTAATCTAAACCAAATTCAAATAAAAAAAAAATCTATTATTTTGGGATGGAGTGAGTAATAAGTATCTTTTTATTGGTTTAGCTGACTTTATATTCATTAATTTAAAAAATCTTAATTTAAAATAGTCAAGAGTTCAAAATTTTACCATACCAAAAAACAAACCTCAATATATATATATATAGAGAGAGAGAATGGTGCAAATCAATTTTAACTCTAAAAAAATTTAGAGTCTTAATCTTAAATGACGTTATTTCATTTAATTAAAATCTAATTTAAAATTTAAAATTCAAAAATTCACCTTATCAAATTTTGATCATAGATTTGGAAACGGATTATATATTTTCATATAATATGTTTTTAAATGTAGGTGTCAATATTATATATGGTGGAATTCTGAATTTTCAATTAA